CAGAGGGGCCTGAGGCCACCAGGGACAAATCTGAGTGCTAGTTTCCCTGCACCTCATCTGTTTCTTGGATATGTGCAGCGTCTGACACACCAGTAATAGGATAGCTAAACACTGGCTAAACACTTACTGTAACTGTTTTATTTGAGCCTCAGAATAAATCTTAGTATGTGCAGGATAAGGATTAGCATTCATTTAATAGAGGAGACATTGAATCTAAATAGATCTTGAACTAAAATTTAGTTTGGATTTTGATTTTCATTCTTTTTTTTTCTTCTCATAAGTGTACATACAGACCACTTAGAATGTTTTCAGTCATGAATTATCAAAAAAATTCATTCTATCTTTCCTTCATTTGCAATAATTATGGATGTTTAAAAGACCTTGTTTTAAAAGCCATACTTAGTGATCCATGTTTGTAGGACTGTAGAAGGAGGATGAGCCTAAGTCTACAAATGCCCAGCATATCCCCTTACTTGTGGTCTTGGAGAAAAATCTGTGTCATGACTTACTGGGTCTCCATCTACATCTTTTATTTTTAAACGATCTTTTCTTTTCTTTTCTTCTTCTTCTTTTTTTTTTTGGTTTTACAAGACAGGGTTTCTCTGTATTGTTTTGGAGGCTGTCGGTCCAGCCTGGCCTCGAACTCACAAAGATCCGCCTGCTTCTGCCTCCCAAGTGCTGGGATTAAAGGCGTGCGCCACCATCACCCAACACAATCTTTTATTTTTAAACTAGGGGTTATGGTAGGACTTTTGCAGGCAAAGGGGATGAAAATCAACGTATTCTTGGGGTATTGTAAATTCTGTATTAAGGACAAGCATTTGCATATGGATTTCCTCAGAGCCTGAATCTAAAGATTGGTCTCCTCAGTATAACTGTTAGAATTGAGGCAGGATGACTCCAAGTTTAAGGTCAGTCTAACCCTAACAGTTAGACCTTTTCTCAAAAAGCAAAATAAAAATAATATGTAGAATCTTGATATAATAAATCTATAACCCTTTTCTTTTCTGGGATGCTGCCTGTGACACACTGGTTTATTACCTTACTGATAACTTTCTATGAATTATACCTTTGAGGGTAGAAGCATAAAAATACAACTAATGAATTTGCTGTTTTCCATTATTGCTATGTTTTTCTCTGACTTAGAGTCACTATTAAAGGCATTAAACAGGAGAAAAACATTAACAATAATTTAGGAATTTAGAATGAGAAAAATTGACTTCACTCATAATGAAAATTTATAAAGCATGTTGTAATTTATAAAAAGGCTCCCATCTTAATTTATTTGCTCATTTTGAACCATATTGTTTCAATAGCACATTTTTTTGAAGATTAAAAAAACCCAGGCTTTAGTAAAGTGATATAGGGTTTTTTTGTGATTTAAAAATCATAGACCTAATGTGTGCATGATGTGACCAGAATTTGAATTTGGGTCTTATAGAGTAATACTTATATACTATTGTTATTTAACTCCCTTTTATTCCATTTCTGCCTTTTCACGACAATAAAAATGAATAGCAGGTGCTTAATGGCAAGCTTGTCCAATTGTCTGTAGATAAGTGACTTCTTAAACTGAAGAAAGTGACATGAAGACATTCCCACTGCACCCACAGAAGGAATTCTATCTGACAAGCAGAGTCTTGATGCATGCTGAGCATTTAGCTGAGTGAAGAATAACATATTGTCATTCTGGCCCTAGAAAATTCAACCAAAGAAATGAGGGCAATTCCCCAGCCACATTCCATAGCCAAAACCCTGCACTATCACAGTCCTGATGCATTTCCCCACGGAGCCAATTACTTGGAGGAAGGAGACAAAGAGGGACACCCCCTTGAGGAACTGGCCCTTGCAGTACACAACTTCTTACCCACCAAGGGACCCAAAGCTGCTGCTTTCCAAAGATGACAAGACACCCAAAGCAGGTTCAGGGAGGTGAGAGGACCCCTCCGGGCTGTTTCCTGAACAGCCATGTCTGGGTAGGGATGTGATGTGTCTTGACGCTCACCTCATCTGCTTGGAGAAATCCTGGCCACCCCTCCCTCCCCATGAGTCTTTCATTCAATGGGTGCCTACTTCTCACAATATTCCAAACACAATCTCTCCAGTGATTCTCTTGACTCCTTTGTGAATCTCAGCATCGCAAACCTCTGTATTTCTTTTGTTCTTTTTCTCAACACATCAACTAAAGCACTCTCTGAGAGAAACATTCTACATAGCTACATCTAGTTCGTCCTTGGAAAAATGATAATTGTTTTAGGATTAAGAAGGGGGAGGGGAACCAAGGCAACATGTTTGATACAAAATACAAGTTAATATTTTCGGTTTTCTTCTTCCATTAATTAAATCATGTTAAACGGATTATCAATGTAGGTGAGAGTGGAAGGCACGTGTATCTCTGTTTCCTTCCATACTGTTCCTGTGCACTGTTTGTTTACTTAATGCTGGTTCCTTCCTCTGCCAATTTGTAAATATATTTCACAATGTGCCTTGACAAAAACTCATTAATGAGTTTTTAATACCTAGGAGGTGAGAAGGGATGTTCCTGAGAAGAGCAGGAGATGGGCACATAACTGGGAAGTCAGACAAACAACAGGTACTCTTTTAGCAGAAGTACGTCCCAAAAAATCTGTACTTATTTATGGGACAAACATATGCTGTATGCAATAACATATGAAATTATATGTCGAAGGCAAATACCATACTGGATTTACTTGTATCTTATTTTAAATTCAGATTTAACTAGGTATTTAGTATTTTATCTGGCTTTCTCTCCTTCAGCAGATCGGTTGTAGCTGGACTATGTCGGAGGGAGCGGAGGCAGGTGGGGGGTTGTTTTGTCCTGTATTTTGAGGCAGGGTCGCCAGTAGCTCAGACTGCCTGGGAACTGTGCAGCTGAGTTGTGACTTTGAATTGATCCTGCACTTCTGGTTCTCTTGCCCAAGCCTCTCAAGTCCTCTGCAGAGTATGTTTTGTTTTATTTTAAATTTGCACAGTTGGCAGAGTTCAGTCGTCATCTCTTTCCTTTAGAAATGACATATGAGGAGGCATTAGTTCAAATGCATGTATTCCTTTGGGGCTGTCCAACTCTGACACCTCACTATCAGAGTGGATGATTAGATAGTGGCCTGCTTAATAGTGTTTCATAAATCATAGCTTGAAGCTACTCACGGCTTCTTTTGGAGGCATGAATTCTAATGAATTGCTATTCTTTTGTGTGTCCTCCTTGGGGTGGTTTAAAGCTCTCAACTCTAAATCTAATCAATAAGTTTCTGGGTCTATTTAAATACTGACATTTGGAAATTTCTGAGGTTGCAGTAAGCTTCAACGAGACAGAGGACAAGGCAAGGTAAATCAAATATAACTGCCACCAAAGTCCAGAAGAATAAAAATAAAAGTTCTCTGAAGTGTCAAACAGAAGCAGAGTTCTTTCACAGAGTATGGCATATATCAATCAAACCTCTGGGTCAGATTACACAGGTTTGACTCGTGTTGGATAGAGTTCAAATGGGTTACAGTAAAACAAAACAAAACCCAAATCCCGAATGCCAAGCTAGACTTCTATTACACTTAAAAGCAGCCTGCTTATAAGCATATGATGTTAAGGCCCACAGTCTTTCAGACAGTTGGATGAACTCTTTGGTGAAAGAAGCATCCATCACAGCCACGCTGCCATCTACTGGCTTCAGTTTTTTTTTTTTTTTTTTTTTTTTGGTTTTACGAGACAGGGTTTCTCTGTTTTGGAGGCTGTCGGTCCAGTTTTTTTGGTTTTTACGAGACAGGGTTTCTCTGTATTGTTTTGGAGGCTATCCGTCCAGCCCGGCCTCGAACTCACAGAGATCTGCCTGCCTCTGCCTCCCGAGTGCTGGGATTAAAGGCATGCACCACCACCACCCGGCCTGGCTTCAGTTTTAAAGAAAGCATTTACTTCCCACTCCAACCCAAGTCTCCATTTAAAGACTAACAGAGTTTGTGCTCAGGGCCTGAAGACAAAGGATCTAAAATAGTTTTGTTTCCATTTTCCTCAAAATTCTACAATGGTGTGACAGATTAAAGATGGTGGCATGTTTTTTGCTACTCTTTATAATTAAGAACTGAAGTCTAATAGTCCTCCCTTAGATCTGGATGGGTTCAGTGACTTTCTTGATCAGTAGACTGCGACATAAGTGATATTCGAGGTTCTCTGAACTAATTCATAAGGATGCTTTTGATTCCCAGCTAGGTCCTTTAAATGCACTCACTGTGTAAGTATCCAATTCAACTGGAAAGACACAGGGGATCACACATACACACTCTGGTAGACTGTTTCAGTAAAGTCCATCCTAGTCATTTCCACAGGGGTGGACAGGCCAGTGAAGCTATCTGGACTGCCCCGCCCTGCCCAGCCCCACCCAGCCCAATTTCTGGTGGAATACGATAACAGGAACTCTGATGATGCCTGATGGAACAGAACAGAACCCAGGCAAATGCCCTCTGGAATTACCAGCCTGTGAAATCCTGATGTAATAAAATGGCTGTTATTTTAGGCTACAGCGTTTTAGTTGGTAAAGAGGCAATCAATAGCTCATCAGAACAAACAGTGGCACACTAAACGCTACCCTTACAAAGTGATAGAATGGGGTGTTCTGATTGGTGGGAGGGGCCAGGGAGGGGCATGAAACTGGAAGCGCCTATAAATGTCACTGACACGGATAAAAGATGAACTGGGGACTTAGAGGGCCTGCACAAAGTCTTAAGAAGCCAGAGTCACAGGGTTTTAACGGGCTGCTACCATTTTGGACATTACAACTCTGGCCCAGCTTCACAGAGAGTCAAAGAAAGTGTGGTGGGAAAACCTGGCCTCACACAGATACTGTGAAGAGCAATGGATAACCATGGCAATTAAGTATGCATGCAAAGTGTGAAATATGTAAGAGGTAGTCCTCCTACCTACGACACATCTCTCATCAGGTGATGTGAAATTACAAGAATCTTCAGAGAAAATACCACAGAAAACACCAACAGATTTTTTTGTACTTTTATTGAAAAGGTACATTTAAAAAAATACACAGACATTTTACCATTTACAGATTGCAGATATAGGCCCTCTAAAAGACTTCACCACTCTATGTATTGTTTTATGATACCTCTTGCCCCTGATATCACAAACATTCCAGTCTTAAACATCAGTTTTTTTTTGGGGGGGGGAAGCAGGGCATAGTCACGTGACCTGTGACACAGTCACTGAACAGAAAGACAGACTGTTCAATTATAAATTATATATCTTCTGTACATTATTGCATCAGGGAGCCACAGAGTTATGTAGCATCATTACAAATGAACAACAAAAGTTTAAAATGAAGATCATTATGTAGAAATACACGGATTCATTGTCTTCTTGCAGATGCACAGAAGGTGCAAAAATGTGCAATTAGGAAGCTCTTTTTGTTTCTGTATACATTTGCTTAGCAACTCAAACCAATGAGGGTGCTACAAAAATAAGTTAAAACAAAAATAGCCAACAGGTAGTAGTTATAGCTATGTTATATGGCTTTCTATTTCATTTAAATATCTCCAAATAAAACATGAAATGAAGAAAATACATTATCTTTTGTTCTCTTAAAGAGAAAGAATTTCAAAGCTACTTTGCTTCCTAACAATTACACAGCAATAAAAAAAAGTTGAATTCGACAAGAGTTACACTCTAGTACTACACGGGATACAACAGTACTCAGGTCTAGAACAGTACACAGTCCCTGTGGACACTAGTACACCAGAAAGAGAAATGCCATGATCCATGGGGAAGATGGTATCCACAATTAAGCACTTGCGATGATGGACTTTTGTTCCACACTAGAATATGCCCGCTTGGACTCTAGAGTTATTTACAGACGTCCGAGGAAGAGTCTACTGTTCAAGTCTGTCAGGAAGAGATTCCATTTTGCTTCTAAGCCAGATCATGTCCATGGGAATACAGCGGTCAGTTTTATTTTTTTCTTTATCAATATATTTTCAAGAAACTTAAATATCTCAGGTACACCAATTGGCTGGGGTAGGACCTAGGGGGTACAGGAAGTAGGGGAACAGTGCCCTTGAGCCTGTCTTTGGGGTTGGGCTGGGCTGTGGCCTGCACTTTGTAAGTGGGTGGGTGGGGTGCTTACACATACACACACACACACACACACACACACACACACACACACACAGCTTACACTGCTGAATCCTTTGGGCTTTTCTTCTACACCTTTCCACTGGTCTGGCCTGCTGCGGGCTACAAGTATTTAGTAAGGGGCAAAGAGGATGGAGGCAGGAGTGGCTCGGATGGGCCCGTGGCCAGGCCTCAGCAGGGCGGGAGGGATGGCTGCAGCCTGAAACAGAGAGGCGGATGGCCGAGGTGGTAGGGACAGAGCAGACGACACAGCTGCAGCCGCCAGGGGCGAGGAAAGAAAAGTCGGGGCCAGGGGCTTCATCAGATCTTTCTGGAATGCAAGCTTTGCCTAAGAAGGGACAAGAACGGGAAACGGGGTGAGAATACTGCTTATAAGTCACAGCACCACAGACATTTTCGATAGAAAAACACTACAGAGTTAGTCAATTGAATTTTCAATATCTTGACTTTGAGGAGTAATGAAAAAATGATGACTGTCACTGGGCTGGGTGACTCTGGGTGTGGTTTGACTTTTGGCACTTCAGTTCTGCTCTGGTCGCTGGAGAGACACCCAGAAGGTTCCTGCTTAGACAACCAGCACAACTCAAATCTCAGACAATGTTGTCTAAAGAGGGATGCAGCCCGGGCTGGCCTCGAACTTGCCTCAGTCTCCCAGAGTACAGAGATTATAGATGTGGCACAACATCCAACATGTTCGGTTTTGGATTTGAGAAGTGCGACTCTTCACCTCTCTTAGACAGACTGCATTGAGGTTAGGTAATTGAGGTGTAGAACATTAGGGACCCATGAGGAGTTAAAAACATAAAATCAATTTGCACTTCTCTTACTGTCCCCATGATGAGTAATCCCTGAAAAAATTATAGCTAAATCAAATTCTGTGCTTGACAGTGACTGTAAGTGGGCTAGAAACCGCTACTTAAAGGAATCCCAGTGCAGACTCCTCCCGGGAAGAAATCAATCCTAAGTTTCTGTCTTTTGCAATCAGAAGGGGCTATGCCAACTGCATTTGCTTAATGCAGGTACCACCTGCTTGCAGCATCCCATGGTAGCTTTGGTGAGGCTAGAAGGTGATCTAAGATCCCCTCTAGCAGGCCCATCTCAGCTTCACCTCAGATGGAACACCATGATAGCCCCAGCCCCAGAGACATCGTGAATCCATCCATCAGTGTATGCACATGATACCTGTTGCCTAAGAAACTGAAAACAGTACATATTGAGAGCAGGTGAGATGGGCTGGTTACCAACATGAATAGAGAGAGCAATACAAACACTTTCATATGTATGTATTAAACACATAACAGAAAATAGGGAGATATTAAACTTGTATGTTACTTTTGTCACAAAAGTAGCCACATATGCCAGGTCTGACTGGGCCTTTCCCGACTCCCCAGCATCACTTGTTCTTGTTCTAGGCCTTTAATTTGCTTCATCTCTTACAGAAGGAGGTCTCTGATGAGGTTTTAGTAAAAGAGGAAGACATTAGCTCCTAAAAAACAGCTGTATTTTTATTTTAGTTGTATGTGTGTATGAGTGCAAATGCCTGCTATATTCAGAAGAGGGTGTCAGATCCCCTGTCCTGAGTGCTGGAAACTGAAGTCAGGCACCGTGCAAGAGCAGCAAGCACTTTTAAGCCTTGACCTGTTTTCTCACCACCACCAAGACACTGGCTTTTAAAGACACCCCATTTGTTGTTATAAAGAAGATGATTTTAGAGCTCCCTGTAGTGGGAGTTAAGCAGTTCGTTCTAACATTTCTGGACTGGTGAGATGGCTCGGCAGGTAAGGGCGCCTGCTGCCTAGCTTGACATGGCTCAGAGGACATATGTGCCTGTGGCCAGGCCTCACAACCGGAAATGGATCCCCAGGACCCACAATGTAGGAGGAGAGAACCAACTGCACCAAGTTTTCCTCTGACCTCCACATAGGCACCATGGATCAAGCGCCTCTCTCCCACGAGTCACAACCATTAGTGCTGGAACTCTAGTTTAGTAGATAGGAAGCTCTGGAGTAGATTCCAGTCCAGCCAATTACATGATTAATAAACAAACAAACAAATAAATAAATAGCGAACTGACTAATCATTCCTTAATGTCTACTGACCACTAGTCCGAGGCCCTCCTGATGGCCACCATCCAGTCCAGCAAGGGTGTCCATAAGATAGGTGTGCAAAGGGAACTTACGGCTAAAATGCTTGGGCTCCGCTGGAGCTTGTTGTAGGGGCTGTATTTCGGCTTCAATGGTTTTCCCGCCACGCGGTCTTTATGCCTTCGGCTTGAAATGTGCTGAAAGAAGCATGGCACATTAGCTGGCTCTCTGAAAGCTTTATTTCCTAGACAGAGACAGCTGATTTCTCCATTCCCACTACGGAGAGGACTTTGTTTCCATCCCGTCCAGCGCCCCTTCCCTCTAATGTTCTCTACAGTCCTAACAGATTCACCCTGAGTTGCCACAGTTAGTCATCACAAAGCCTGGCTTCCTTGACCCTCGGCTAATGATGCGCTGTGTGCTCTTGGTGACTTTTGTGCCCATCTGTCTATCTCTATCTAGCCCCTGGGCTGGAAGCTGAGAAGTAGGAAGCTCAGGCTCAGATATTGGGTAATGACCTTCCCTTCTACATAGCACTTGAAGACTGTTGCATATTAAACTTAACAGTGAGCACACAGAGAAACATTCATAGATGAGGGGCCATATGCAGACATGACCTAACATGTTACAGATGTCTAATTTGGGCTACCCTACCTGCTTGAGTTGAATTTCTGAGTTAACGTGAACATCACAGATTTCACAATGAAATGTCTTGTTCTGTAGTCCTGAACCCTTACTGCCATTCTGCATCTTCAATCTTGACCCAGGTCTTGGATAGGACTTAATTGGACCAGCTCCATTACGAGCCTCAACCATGGTCTTGTGTTTAGATCCTAAAAAGAAAGAGGTATGTATTTAGAAGCTATTTAAGGACTGGAGGCTGGGATGGAGATGTAGTTAAGTTGGTGGAGTGTTTGTCTGGCATGTGTGAAGACCCGAATCTGATTCCCAACACTTCATTGTCTTGGTGTGGTAGCTTATGCTTGCAATTCCAGTAGTTGGAAGGCAGAGGTGGAAGTTCAAGGTTACCATCACACAGCAAGTCGAAAGCCAGCCTAAGCTAAATGAAACCCTACCTAAATAAACAAATAAAGATGAATTATAGAAAACCTTTCATTTTATTTTTCTTCACTTCTTTCCTCTTTCGTTACCTTTCTCTCCCTCCTCTCCTCTCTTCCCCTTCCCCAAATTTCCTCTCTCCCTTTCCAGTTTTCTTTGAGATAGGATCTTACTATGTATCCCAAGCTGGCCTTGAACTCACCTTGTAGCCTATGCTAGCCCCAAACTTGTGATTCTCCTGCCTGAGCCTCTTGAGTGCTAAAATGATGGCCATACACCACTAGCCCATGTACATGCTCTCTTTTCATTAATTTTAGTGACTGAGTGATACATTCCACCACGTTGGGCTGCCATAATTTATTCAGAATTTTATTACTGATGACTTTTTATGTTGTTTTATATCTTTGTCTCATCAGTATTTAGCAGTGACTAGTCTATACAAATCTTTGTATTTCTGTCGCCTCATCAGAATGGTTTTCGGTAAGTAGTAGCTGATTTTTGATGAAATAAAGAGCCTGCTTTGTCTCCACACTACTTTTGCTTTGCGCTTCAGTCATTATGACCATGCTTTCCTAAAATCACTCCTTTAAATTAAAGAGAAGAGAGACACAGACAGAGAGGGAGGGATAGTGAACCAACATGGAGTGTAAGCAACAGATGTGATATTCTGGTGGAAGAGTTGGGTTTGCATATCAACACTATTTAGACTCCAAAGAGAGCGGCTAACCTGTGTTGTGTGCTTCCAGCTGTGACAGGGAGTTCACAGCCACTTTGCATAGTGAGCAATAGAGTAATTTTTTGGCTTTTTCTTCTTCTGACTCAGCAACAGACCCCAGAGCGCCGCCGTTTGTGCTCTTTGAGGGAGAAGTGATGGCTGCAGGTGGTAGGGGTGTTGTTCCAGATTTGAGGAGAAAGGAGCCTCCTTCAGAGCCTGAGGGCTGAGTGGAACTGGTGGCTTTTAGCTTCCCTTTGTCGTCTAAGGAAGACACACAGAGATGTTATTAAAGTCTCCCATACCATACAGCCCACAATTAGAAACAGGAATTTGATTTCCATACCAAATAGAAAAACCAACATAGGTTCTTCTAAAGTTTAGCACAGATTTTAGCTTATATAGCTTTGTTTAAATAAGACCACATGCCGTTAGCTTCTATATCAGGTAACCACCAAATCATGGTGATCTATGAAGCATGACTTTGGTGATTTTTCTGGAATCCTTGCATCATAAATCATGCTCTAGGGAAGGCTTTACTATAACACAATCAACTACTCTTCAGCATGACAACAAGACAAGATGGCAACATGAGATGAGTCATTAGCCTATGTTGGTTTCAGCTGCCGACTTCTGACTTAGTTATGGCATAGATATGAAGTTAAAATTTAACTTTCTCAGCAAGGCAAAACTTTACCTTTGTAAGCTTGGGTAGAGGGAAGGAAAGAAACATGGTTAACTGTAGTAATAACTAGTTAAGTTTGCCCTGCTTTCTGAATGGCAATGCACTCTACCCAAAACATGGGAGAGTTGTGTTCGTTCTTTAGGCTCAGGAATTACTGCCTGTCTGAATAAAAAGTTTTAAATAATCACATCAACCACAGTCACAACCTGAGTATTAGTCAAACAATTTAAAGACATCTTGACATTTTTAGTCATACAATTACTGAAGGCTTATTATCCTGAAGGGCCCTGAGCAGGCTGTGAGGGGTCATCGTGACTGTGATAGATTCTAAGGCACTGTTCAGTGACTCCCTTGCGAAGAAACACTGGAGTCTAGTAGGCAACAGCATATCCATCCCATGCATAATTCTAGCAGAGTCGGCACTCTTAGAGAATATCTAGAGATATACTAACTAACTTGCGTTAAGAGAGGAAGACTGTGTGAAACATATTTGTTAACAGTCCTAGGCAACTGAGGACTGCATACAATTGCCTTAGATGACCATCCATTTGTTTGTTTCTGTTTATCCACAAAATTCTGCTCGCCGCAAACCAAAGCTTTCAGTAATTACTATAATGTTTTAAAAGCTTTCTTTTTTTTGTTTTTTGTTTTTATTTTCCAGTTTAAATTTAGATAAGAAACAAGGTTGCTTCACAAGTCAGTTCCAGGTCCCTCTCCCTTTCCCTCCCCTCCTCCCGTGCCCTCCCCCCAACCCCCCCCCGTTATCCCCTCATTCTCCCAGGGAGGGTGAGGCCCTCCGTGGGGGTGTCCATAGTCTGTCATTTCATATAGGGCAGGGCCTAGACCCTTCCCCAAGAGTTCAGGGTGAGAGTGCACCTCACATTGTTCTATGGGAGTCCAAAGTCCGTGTGTATACTTGGGATGGGTACTGATCTGCTGAAAAGCTTTCTTAAAATGGGGATTCACCAGTTTTCCATCTTTTCCCCACGCTGGGTCCATGTCAAGCACCTTTAGGGTTGAGTCTTGGAGAACATACAGGTGGCAAAGGAATGTGGCCATCTTTCTATGGGGCTGCGGGGCTATGGGAGCAGCCCAGCTCTTGTGACAGACACACGCTACTGAACACAAGTTGCCTCCTGCTCCAAGCATTTCATTTGTTATTTCATACGAATTGGACCCCAGAGCCCGACTTCCGTCACTGATCTTCTCACTTATTCCTCCTGATGTTACTGTGTTAGGTTCCTTTATGTTTACGTCAAACTTTGCAGCTTACAAAGAACTATTCTCTGATAGCAAAATTTGTGGGATAGGCAAGGCTGCAAATTGGATTTTTTTTCTTAATTTCAAGGTGAGGAAACAGAACTTCATAGATGAGTGTTATATTTCCCATACCTGGTCTTTACTAAGCACACTGATCTTTTAGCAAAATGGGGAAGTGATTTAATATATCATCATTAATATTACAGATGCCTACAGAAGCCACCCTACACATGAACTAGCTGCCATCACTTTTAACTTAAAAATTTTGGGAATTTCATATATACATGGATTTATATCCTTTCCACCTTCCCTTTTCCTTATTTATACTCTCTCTCTGTCATTTATTTTCTTAAGTGAAGCTACTTACTGTACATTGTGCTCAATGTGCTTCAGGTTATAACAATAAGATGTATGAAATATATATATTTTCTTTTATATGCTTATTTCTTTAAGAAAAAAGACTAAGCATGTTTCTTTTTTAAAATTCCTTTTAAAATTGTTAATTTATTCACTAACAAATGCATGCTGACATCATGTTATTTGCTGACAAGGTGCTAGACACCGAAGAGAATAGTAAGTAAACCAGGTACAGACTTGAAGAAAGTTACGGAGCAGCCAGGAAAATGACAGCCACTCGGAGGTTCTAATGTATGGGAGAGACTAGTGAGGGGCAATGGATGTATAGAGCAGAAATGGTTACCTCTGCTTGGGAAGAAAGGGGCACTGCTCATTAATAAGGGAGCCGCACTTTGAACTTTTGAAGGTCAGATTTAAATAAGCATAGGATGAGGGCGAAAAGGAGGAAGAAACGGATAGCCATAAGCCAAAGCACAAGGGCAGTGATAGGGGCTAAAATATCTCAGGGTCTCCACCAGGTTGCTGAGTACGGGGCTGACTTCAAATGCTGTGGGGAATATTACCATAAAGGTCAATGGAGCCCAGAGGCAGGGACTCACCAATCCATTGAAATATATACTGAGGACAGAAACCTCCCTTTTAACAACAGATTGAAATGCAAAGTATATTTAGCTTTAGTGTGATTTAGGTAAATTATTGTTTTCCATGAGATAGGCTAGAATCAGTATTTAGAACATACAGAAGAATTTTGACTTTGGAAATAGGCACATGATTTCAACATATTAAGGGATTCTGATGAGAGACTGAAACCTGCTGGTTCACAAAGCAATCTCTGACATCAAGGACATGATTGCCACATTTACATATTTAAATCATGGCATTCTCCCAGGATGTGTGAACTTGAGAGTAGCAGGGCCCAATTTTATTGTTTTCCCCTCTCAGTGGCTTGACATCACAATCCACCATGTTATTTCTCTTTGCTAAGTGACATTTTTAAAAGCTGAGTTTTAAAATGGATTTGAAGGTTTAATTAATGTACTGTTTACTTCTGTTTCCTTTAATAAAGATGCATGTCATCTGGAACTTGGAGTTAATGTAAATTCCATTCTCAAGTATTCCCTTGCCTAATGTTAATTAGCAGGCCTTCTGACTGTCATAATTATTTCCTGTCTACTCACATACTCCTTGTAAGGGTTTATGCTGCAGGACTTAGAAGCTACAGGACCTCTCACCCACTTTCCAGAGCTCAAAACACTTACAGACTCTTCACTGGGGGACTTCGTTTATATCCAGTTGGCGAACCACACAAAGTCAGCCATCAATACTTGTCATCCTTATTTTCCACTTCAAAAACTTCACACAATAAGTTCACCTTGTTCAAAGTTAACACTGTATTTGATAAATGGTGCCTTGGAAGGCTAATAATGTACTAACACAGAAGACACAAGTTTCAGGACACAGTGCTAAGAAATGGATCTAGGTGTGTGGAAAACCTGTGTATATATGGTTCTTAATTAAGAAACAAAAGACTGCTTACAATGTTTGTCTTACATTTTGATTTAGAACTTTGAAAGCCCTACCCAATTTTTACTATTCTATTTGCAAGGGTTACTCTTGAATTTGATATTATTAGTGTGATATTTTTTTTCTAGCCAGGTTTCAATGGTTGAATAACATATTGTCTTTATATGAACAAATCTATGTTCACTATAAAAATTTACAAAATAAAGTTAGATGGCATTAAAAAAATTAAAATCACCCATGAGTTCACCAAAAGTTGTATATCACTGTTTTTTGTACAAATACTAAAGTGGGAGAAACCATTGCTACCTATACTTTTATGTTTAGTCTCCATAGACCACAAAGTGCATGTATTTTAATATATTTCTACATTTGTGCAGGCAGATACAGACTGTCCCCACCACCCAGAAGGTTTGGTTGAACTCCTAATAAATTAAGAACTCTGAAAGGTAGTCACTATTCTTGCCTCTATCAAGTTATACAAGTTTTATACTAGTTTAAATACTCATATACATGAAATGACACAATTTGTATTTCTGTGCTATTACATAGAGAAGTTTTTTTTATTTCTCACTGCCAAATAATGTCCTACAACATGTGTCTGCACTATGGTTTATCTTTTGGATACCAATACACATTTGGAATATTTTCAGTTTTGCCTATTTTGAGTAATGTTACTATGAGCATTGTTCTTTTGTAAGCATAAACATTAATTTGTAGTCAGGAGTAATGCATAGTGGAATCTCTGGGACTAAGACTCTCATCTCTCTACCTTTAGTAAGTTCTAAATGGTTTTCTAAAATAATTGTACAACAGTAAAAAGCTGAGATCTTGCTAGAACTGGCTAGGACCACCATGGCTTCCAAGATAGCTGCTAACTTGTCCTTGTTTTCTAAATAAACTGTGTTCCTATATTAGCATTATGGACTGATTGTTCTCATGCCATATCTGAGAAACTCATATAAAAAGACAGGAAGGGGAATAGCCTTTATTTTGGGGAGTCTCAACTCATCTGGAGGTCCCCTGTCTTTCCCCCACTGTTGCTGTAATGATAAAAGGCACACTTGTTGAGGGTATAGTAACTGTTTATTGTAGAAATTACTTACAAGAGAAAACAGGCAACCCAGATGAGTCAAGTAGCTTTCAGCCACCAAACCGGAAGCCAAGAAGAGAGAGTGTGGCTCTGCTGCACTGTCTTTTATAAGAACCTCAGTACACATCTCTAGTCACGCCCTAAAGTGGGCCTGGCTAGTGACTTAGTTCACCGCCCTTTCATTAGCACATGGGTATGTGTCTCTAGTCACGCCCAAAGTGAGTGTGGTTAGCAGTGCAGTAAACCGCCCTTTTGAATTCTCTCTTCAAAGTTCTTTTCAACTTTCCTTTATGGTACTTGTTCACTGTCGGTCTCTTGCCAGTATTTAGCCTTAGATGGAGTTTACCA